AGGAAAGGCTTGGTCGCTTCGATTTCGTGATCCTCCATATCGATGGCTCGCGTAATGGAGCGGCGGATGCTTTGTCGAGGACGGGAAGTGGTGCGACTCCACAACCCACTCGCCTCGAGCCCATCCTGCCTCCCAGCCTTTTCACCAAGATCGCTGCCCCTGTCACACGTGCGCAAGCGGTCGGTGATGCTACCCAGGGTGCGGGTGCAGCGCCTGAGCGTGCCCGTGCCCCTCGAGTGACATTTGCGCCGCAAACGCACATAATCCCGAGTTCGCCGGCCACGCATGATCACGACGATGCATTAGCAACCGCCGATGCTGGAGTAGCAGCGCCTGACACCCCAGCAGCTACTCACAGTGCGAGCGAGCTTCCAACCGACTTGGTTGGGAAAATTCGTCTCGAGACTGCTGTGGATGCGCAAGCGTCGCTGTTGGCTGCGGCCCCACACTCGCGCTACGTCTTGGCTGACGGCCTGCTGCGAAAGGATGGCCGACTGTATGTCCCGGAAAGCATGAGGTCCACTGTCCTCTTCATGCGACACGACGCAGAGTTGGCCGGTCATGGCGGCGAGCTGAAAACGCTTGAGCTGGTTCGTCGCGACTTTGCCTGGCCAGGCCTGCGTGCCTATGTGATTCACTATGTGGCTACGTGTGACATGTGCCAACGTGTCAAGGTCCCGCGGCATGCGCCGTACGGACTGCTGATGCCAATCCCCGCTCCCAAGCGACCGTTTGGTGACTGGGCGGTGGATTTTATCACTGATTTGCCACCGGACCAAGGTTTTGATGCGCTCCTGGTCTGCAAAGACCGACTGACTCGCATGATTCACCTGATTCCTTCGGTCAAAGCGATTACAGCGCGAGCAACTGCAAATTTATTTTTTGACAATGTGGTTCGCCATCATGGCCTGCCTGACCGCATTCTCAGTGACCGTGGGCCCCAGTTCGCAGCCAAAGCGTGGCGTGACTACTGGCGAGGCCTTGGTGTGGAGCTGGCGCTGAGCAGCGCGTATCATGCCGCTGGCAATGGTCTGGTTGAGCGAGCCAATGCCAATGTTGAAACTTATCTGCGCGCGTACATTTCGCACGACCAGCAGTGGGTGGAGCACTTGGCCTCGTGCGAGTTCGTGTACAACAACACTGTGCACACAGCTATCAAGATGTCGCCATTCAAAGCTGCGTATGGCTTCCACCCTCGGATGGATGTCGGCGACGCGGCCAATCGTGCAGCTCTTTTGCCTCATCTCAACCGTGGCGCCCAGATGGAGGAATTGCATGCAACCCTGGCATCAAACATCACTCGAGCGAACGAGCGGTATGCCAAGTTTGCCGATCGTCTGCGCAAGCAAGCGCCCAAGTTCGAGATTGGCCAGCAAGTGTGGATTTTGCGCCGAAACATCAAGAGCGACCGTCCTGTGACCAAGCTTGACTTTGTGCGTGTTGGCCCATTCAAGATCCTCCAGGTGATTAACGACAATGCTGTGCGCTTGGACCTTGGCGAGAGCTCGCTCAAGGCCGATGTCTTCAATGTGGCTTTGTTGGAGCTGTATCGTCCCAATGATTTACCCGACCGTGTGCTCCGCAATGTCCCTGGCTTGTCTACGAGTGATGGCGAGTTCTTCCCGGTTGGCAGGATTCTCGACTCGCAGCTTCGCGACGACGACGAATTGTGGTACTTGATCCGTTGGAAAGATCGCCCCGCCTCCGAAGACAGCTGGGAGCCTGCATACAACATTGTGCCTGGCAACGCGCGGATGGTGAACGCTTATCACCGGGCGCACCCGAACAAGCCCAAGTAATGGGTGGTGGTCGCTTGACCAAAAAAAAAAAAAAAAAAAAAAAACGAGGGAGATGGAAATGATTATGCTTTGATTTCTGGTACCATTTGTGTCGGTTGGTTTTGTCTTTGTTAGCTCTCTCGTTCGCGGTTGGAGAACCCCCTTTTTTTTGGAAGGGGCAGAATGTCATGCCCCACTGGCATGCCTACTTACTTGCATGCATTACCTTGTATTGTTTGTCATGTCTCCCATACTGGGAATGGTTCATTCGTCAATATACCTTTATTCATGAACATTGCCTGACAATCGACGTACCTTTGCACTGACTCTGACAGAGCCCAGACTGCCCTTGCCTCTGACACGAACCGGCTTCATGCTCTCGAACCGCACCGTCCGAGTCGCCAGATCGATGACAGGATTTGCCGCCGCCAGCACATCCATGCCCAACAGGAGCGGCACCACCGGCCCATCCAGGATCATCGCTTGGACCCACAACTGCCGGCCCGCCAAAGTAACTCGCAGTGCCACGCCCTCGCGCACCTTCATCTCCTCTTTCGTCACTGTCCTCAACTTGATCATTGAAACTGAGGGGGCACGAAGTGTATTTGCTACAGCACGGCTCACAAATGTGGCGACCGATCCCACAGTGGAAAATTTTACCGGATTCCGGTAAGTCCAGTTTTTTCGCTCGTTTTCCGCTCATCGTCTTGAGACTCGAATTCGTCAGTTTGGCTCGCTTTTTTCACTTGCACTGTGATGTATGTGTCGATTGTAGTGCACTGTTGTTGAATTCGGACAGCAGGGACCGTGCTGGACCGCAAACCGACGATGAGGCTGGATTGGCTGGCGGACCATTGGGATCAGCACAACCATGCTCCTGCGCTCCAGGCAAGCTCAGCTCGCGCCTTTACATGTCGGATGATGTGACACGGGTCTGGAAACCTTGTTTTCGAGGCGAGGGCGGACGGGGACGGTCGGATAGACGCAGGAGCGCTGTCGAGCCCCGCCAGCCAAATGACTGCACCAATTGCACCAATTGCACCGCATCTCCACTCAGGATATAGCTCTCATTCTATTAGAATATAGACAAATACACTCAACAATGAACACCTATTAGTCACGCATATTCAAATGCCATGGAACGAAGATGAATAGGTTTTCAGGTAAGCTTGACGGACGGTCTTCCAGTGGGAATGTCTGCCTCAGCCCCTCGAGTTGGTCAGGTGTTAATGCGTGACAGTAGCCGCTGCAGCCAAATGGTTCGAGAAGCGCGATTTCGTGGGTGTGGGGGGTCCGTGACGTGTAAACGGGATTTCTGCCATACTCGAAACCGGTCGGCCGGTAGTACACTTCAATCTCAACGTAGATCGTTTGCTCGACACGCCAAAACATGGCTGGTGTCAGAGTCAGTGCAAAGGTACGTCGATTGTCAGGCAATGTTCATGAATAAAGGTATATTGACGAATGAACCATTCCCAGTATGGGAGACATGACAAACATTGCAGAAGGCGGTGGCCGAGGGGGAAGAAGAAGGAGTAGAGCTTCTATCCTCCAAACGATACCAACTTCACGACGGCCTCATTAAGCGCGAGGACCGAGTGTTCGTCCCAGAACATTTACGTCCACAGATCCTGCGATACCGCCATGACGCAGCGACAGCAGGTCACTGCGGGAACCGAAAGACACTTGAGTTGGTTCAGCGCGACTTTGTCTGGCCTGGAATGAGAAAGTACGTGGAGCAGTACGTCCACACTTGCCCAGTTTGCCAGATGGTGAAGCATGCGAGGCACGTACCATACGGTCTCTTGACTCCTAATGAGGCCGCAGACAAGCCTTTCGGCGACTGGTCCATCGACTTTGTGACCGGATTGCCAGATTCTCAAGGGTTTAACGCAGTCATGGTCTGCATCGATCGACTGACTCGAGTTGCACATTTCATTCCGACGACAAAGTCTGTCACGGCGGAGGAATCGGCTCAGTTGTTCCTGGAGAATGTCGTGAAGCTGCACGGCGTTCCGGTTCGTGTCTTGTCTGATCACGGACCACAGTTCATTGCAAAGTTCGGGAAGAAGCTATGGAAGGCGATGGACATCGACCTCTCCTACTCTAGCGCGTATCATCCACAAGGAAACGGTCTTGTGGAACGGGTGAATCAAGCGCTGGAGTCATACCTGCGAGCGTACGTCAGTGAAGCCGAGGACTGGGCAAGACTCCTTTGGTTGTGCGAGTTCACGTACAACAACACGGTGCACGCGGCGATCCAGTGCATTCCGTTCATGGCCATGTACGGGTTTCAGCCGGAAATGGATGAGATTAACTTCAAGTCGCCGAAGGCACCTCAAACGGCAGCTGATCGCGTGGAGGAACTCAAGGCACTGCGTTTCTCGTTGAGAGCGAATATTCACCGAGCAAACATGTCCGCAGCCAAGTTCTATGATCGGCACCACAAGGCAGCACCTCCGATCACGGTGGGCAGTTTAGTCACAGTTCTGCGTCGCAGTCAGACTGCCGAACAACCGTATGCCAAGTTGGCGTACGTACGCGATGGTCCCTTCAAGGTCGTGAAGCAGATCAATGAGCGTGCCTTTGAGCTGGATCTAGGTGAAGCATCCAGCAAGTCCCGCACCTTCCATGTATCTGTCTTGGAATTGTTTGTCGCTGATGACGTGGAAGGTCGGATTCGGCGAGTCCTGCCTCCTGTCAAGGACTGGGACGGAACAGTTCGACATCGAGTCGAGGCGGTGATTGATTCGACTCGTCACAGCGGGATTATGTACTATCGCATCCGAAGGGTAGGCACCACTGCTCGTGAAGACACCTGGGAGCCGGCTAAAGACGTGTGGGCTCGCTTCCCCAGGGCCGTTCGTTTATTCCATCTGGCCGAACCTTCTCTGCCACAGCCTACGCGAGAGGAGTTTCACGAATGGATCGCCGTCGGTCCAGGCGAATCATGTTCAACCCACGGCTAGTCGCACGCCCGCTGCTCCAGCTGGCCAAGCTCCACCTCAAGCTAGTGCGACACCCGTTGCTACGCGTTCAGTGGCAACCCCATCTGCAGTTGCTGCACGTTCCGTAGCAACCCCGCCTACAGCTGCTGCAGTCCCACAGCCAGTCCACTTGCCAAGTCGGCATCGGCGTTGCCGGCGTCGCGTCCTGGGTCCACACCGGTGGGCCCTTCACACTCTTCTCCGAGGGGAGGACCAGGAGGGGGTAGAGTGTTAGGACCCGCAGGCTCTGCGGTCCCGGCTGGGTCGTTCTTTGCTGAGAAGACTCGGCGTTGATGTCTTTGTATTGTTTGTTTGCATGCATTTGGAATTGCAGTTCAGTCTGCAAAGTGAAATAAAACACTTTACAACAACATTGCCTGGCTAACCCTACCAAGGTCTTACAACGGAGTAGAGGCATAGAATAGCCTCAGGAGGACCCAGAGGAAGCTTGTGCTTTTCAGCAAAGGTGGAACTGGACACGGAACGAGAGGCACCAGTATCGATGAGGGCAATGGCTGAAATTCCATTGACCTGGACAGAAACCTCGAAAGACTTGACGTGCGCGGTGAACACGGATGAGTGTTCCTTTTTGTTGTTGTTGTTGTTGTTGTTGTTGTTGTTGTTTTTTGGTTGCTGGGATTTCTTGGGACAGTCTGTAGCGGAATGACCTTTTTCGCCACAGAACATGCAGAGGCCGAGGGTGCGGCGACGCTCTTTCTCTTCAGGCGCGAGGTGGCCGTTCTGGAGATTGAGCGGAGGCTTGGACGGAGCAGCGGCCGGAGGATGGGGAGTGCCAGAGGAAGA